TCGGTGATAAAATATTTTCAGTATGCGAAGAGCAGATGCATGTGAAACACATCAGTATTCCAATGGCAATGGTATTAAGCTCTCGTTCGGCCCCTTTTAATTTCCATTCCATTACATTTCATTTTTTTCCCTTTTATTTTCAACCACACAATCTTCCATAAAATAATATTACACATAAATCGAAAAAAAAAATTCTTCTTTTTCAATCATTCATGTTTCAAAAAAATATTATTCCACTCATTTTCATTACCACAAAATGGGGGTCAAACAGGGGCTAATAGTGGTCCATCAATTATGTTATTGAGTTTTGATAAAACCTGGGAGTAATAAAATACTCAATGATTGTTGATTTTTAATTTAATTTAATTTTTTTAATTTTTCCCTCCCCTTCCCTTTCTTCTCTCTCTTTTCCCTCTTTGATCACATTCATACTTATATTAGAGACACTATTCATTACATATTTCACATTTTCACAACCTAATTTTCAATAAATGCCAATTCATAACCCATGTTAACGAACTTTTTAAATTCCCTTATCCAGTAAGCTTTTCCTATCCTAAGCAACACCACATATCATTTTAGAAATTCATGTTTCTCTTGAGCTCAAAACATTTTCTTTTTTTTTTTTTTTTTTTGGGACAGTTCTTGAGGTCAAGTCTTGTGACTTGAAGGGACTAGCAAAAATTAAGGCATCATACGACACTGAATATAAAGATTCAATTCTTCATCCTTTTAAAAAGAGTAAACTTCTCGCTGTTTTGGTTATATAGATAAATACAAAACATTATTTATGATTATATTCGTCATCACAACAAATTCTTAAATGCTGAGTGTCAAGAACTAAATGTAATGGCACAAATATGTGACATGCATGCAAGTTAACCATTCTACACCAACCAGAGATCAATTTGGTTGTCCAAATTCATTGTACCACGTGAACAGCTAACGTAGCACCTTAATTCTCCCTCCAAGTGGCATGAGTTAATAGGATTAGCTCGCGCGTGCTTATGGTGGGACTCTTGTACCCTTCTCTTTTGCCTCACTCTCTATAACTAAGCACTCCGGTTGAGGGCACAATTCTCTTGAATCTGTGCTAAAAAGAAGTGGAAGATGAGTGATACTGGATATAGCGGTGGATCAAGTCCGGATAACGGCAACGGCGCTGATAACAACCCAAATCGTGGCCAGGGTAGGCGCCGTGCGACGTTTGCCGCCACCAAGATGAAGCCGCCACAACGGGGAAAAGTTTTTAAAAAGATCTTTGCTGATTTGACTGGACATCCTGCTTCTCAGCCTGCACCCAATTGAGGTTCAATTAGTGGTGGCTAATATGTAAATAGTATGTGGCTTTTGCTTGTGGTTCTACTCTTCTAGAGGACTTTCATTGTTGCTCTGTTCGATCCAGTTATCAATAAATCTCAGTTCCTCTGTATCTGTTAACTGCATCTGTTGACAGTTATGTGGCTTTTGCTTATGGTATTAGTCTTCTAATGTGTGTTTGTCACCCATTATTTGGGAGAATCTTTATTTAACAGTGATTGATGTTGAAATATGTGGTTAAAAAAAAAAGTTTTTGATTTACCATAATATTATTTTAATGAAGAATAAGTGGCTTAAAATGAGTAGCGTGGGGAAAATAATAAGAGAAAATGGATCACAAACTGGGGCTTAATGTTAAATATTAATTAATGACTGTAATATGAATGAATTCTTGAGTTTTTAGCTTGCGTAGATTCAGAGATTTGAGTTATAGTCACTATCTGCTTAATTTATATTGTAACTTAATCATTAAGTTAGATTAGTTTAACTATAATAAGCAACTATATTTAGTAAATTATTTATCATAATTTGTAATGTTTTATTACATCTCACACTTTATTATGTAGTTCATTATGGTTTTATTTTATTTTATTACTATAAAAGGTCCCATTAGAATATTTTAGATCAAACTTGGCATAATTAATTAATTAATTATTGAGAATCTTTTCACAACTTAGTTTCTTCGAAAAACCTGAGGAAAAAGCTTTGATGAAATTTTTGGTTAAGAACTGAACTTCTCTATATGAGTTTTATTGTGGAATTTAATGAATGATTACTTTAACTGGGAATTTTTTAACTAAATTTACTTGGGTGCATATTTGGTAAAACTTTTATTTACTAAAATGTTGATCAGACTTCATTTTTGACATATTTCATTAATTCCTCAACTTTATTCACTTTTTTAACAAAATGATTATTGAGATTCACTTCGATTAGACAACGTTCTTTACATATTTTCGTGCCCTACTGATTTAAGAAAGAAAACCGTTTCAACATGTTATGTCATTGAATCGTGCTGCATTCCCAAGGCCTTATTAATCATTTAATTTTAATTTACTTTGGACTCATTACTCAACTTTACAAAATATTTTATTTGTAATTTGATAATATATATATATATATTTTTTTTGTATATGAAATAACTCAAAATTTAAGCTCATAATTAGGAATAAAATAAAGTTTGGAACCAATATGAAATTCATTGTAAGTTGAGTGACTAACAACAATTAAATCTTAGAAATATTTCATATACAAGAACGTATTTAAGACGTTTTCATGCTATTAAGATGCGTACAGGGAATTATTTACAGTATATGGTGACTTTTATATAATTAACTTTTAATAAATTATATTTCATTTATGAAAATCATAATTTTATCCTACAAGAAAAATAAATAAGAACGGACTGAGATCATAACTAACCTTATGGCTGCTAATGTATTAGTCCAAACATAAACATACACGGAGGAATTTAACTTTTCGTTTTCTGTTTTTTAAGCTTTGAAATTCAAATATAGTGGAAATTATAAATCCATATGTTAAGACTTGTGGTCCATCTTAAAAGCCAATCTTATTAAGAGGAGTAGTTCAAACTTTTATACGTTGCTTAATATTCGATGTGGGATTTATCCTTAACATGCTCTCATAAGATGCCGACTCATTTGAGCAAAAAACCTATCTTAAAATTCACGTGCTCATTTGTCAAATCTTAATCGGATCGAATTGCTTGTTGGAACTTAATAGGTCATGATACCATGTTATGACTTGGGCTTCCATCCTGAAATGTTAATCTTATTAAGAAATGTAGTCCAAACCCTTATATATTGGCTATATTTTCATCTCTATTCAACGTAAGATCTATCCCTAAACACTATGCACACTTTTGTGAACTTTTTCTTCGCCCACTCAAAAATATATTTAAGACTAAAAAATTACATCACAAACATAAAATAACAAATACAAATACGGATATGCACATATAAAACACAAATACTGACATCAGTATATATGCGCGATGCGTGTGTGCACATCCAAGAAGAAAATCAATGCCAACGATTATGTGATCAACTCCAATAATGCTAAATTCAGGAGTAAGAATGGGATACAATGAAAAAGATCACGACTACATCAAGAAATATTGAAGAAATCAAAAAAAAAGAAAAAAGAAAAAGAAAAAAAGATTCAATAAATCATCTCGAAATTTCTTAACTCTGGTATATCAGCGATAAATAAATTCCCTATATTCTTATGAGAAAGATATAGTTAAACTCACCAATGACACCGAATTTGATGGATGAGAACCCCCTAGATTTCGTAATTGCTTTAAAAGGGATTATTTTTACTGCATTGGAAGAGAAAAAAATTGGGAAATGAAAAACTAAGGGCGCGTTGCTATCTTTATAAAAGGGGAGCGAAAAAGAAAATTTTAAAAAGTTGTTTGCTGGAGAGTGACGTCATAAGACGTGCGGGTCCCATATGAATGGAACATTAAAATATTTGTGGAAAACTATCTATCTAGTAGTGCATAAAATTAAAATAATAATAATAATAATAAAACATTTTGATCCATCGAAATTTTCAAATTAGCTATTGCAAAGTCAAATTTGCATGGAAAAGATTTTTGTACTTTTTATGTTTTTGCAAGGTAGAGAATATGTTGCATAACACAGAATGGATAAACAAAAAACTTAAGCTTAGTGAGAAGTGCAGTATAACATGTTGATTGAAAGAGGTCTCAATTTGACACTAGAAGAATAACTTTGTTTGAGCCTCATTGTTTTGTGAACATGAGTTTTGTAATAGCGGTTTTTTAAAAGATTTGTAGTTAAAAAATAATTATAAGTTTTGTTTACTTGCAAAATTATTTTATTGGAAAAATATATAGTTGAAAATGATTTTTTTTTTTAAAAAAAAAAAAAAATAGGGCTCAAACATGAGATATGAATCATTGAGATCTACAGTACAATGAACCTCAAATATATTTTATGTTGATCTGTAGTCGAGTAATGATTAGAGTATAGTATTGTTTGCAATAGGGACGGATCTACTATGGGACAGTGGGATCATATGCTATCAAAATTTTCCCCAATTCTATTCATTAAACTTTGATATCATGGCACTTGATAATGAATTGGAGACCTACATAATTGATATGCGGTCTAGTGATGATTTTTTAGAAGTCAATGGAATTAGTTGTCTTGCAAAGAAATTGATTCAAACAAAAAGGAATGTTGTACATCCATTGGTGTATATGCTTGTGAAGATAATCTCAATTTTACCGGTTGTAACTGCAACTATTGAAAGAGCATTCTTAGTAATGAACATAGACAAAAAATCGTTTGCAAAATCAGATATGTTGTGATATCTGGATGAATGATAGCTTGTTTACATACATTGAAAATGATACATTTGATACTATTGCTATCGACAAAATCATCCAGCATTTTCCAAACATTAAGACTCGACAAGAGCAACTATGAAGACCTAAGTGTAAGTGTTATAAATTTTGCTTTTTTACAATTGATGAGAACCAACTTATAAGAAAGCAAAACATACTAATTTTTTTAAGGCCAACCTTGCAGTAGAAAAAGTACTTGGGGCAAATTCGACAGATTCAATTGAGTAATTGAGTTTCTTCTAATTTTACAAACACATGTTTGAATTTCCATTTAATCGAAGCATTTGATCCAGATAAATATATACTTTTCTCACACCTTTGATAATAGGCTTATATATTGAATCTATAAACAAGCTCATTCATTGAGCAAAGAACAACGAGGTATTTACAACAATTAAATTCAATGACCGCTCCCTATCGAGAGAAAAATCAGTGACTACATGCTAACAACACTTAAACCTGTCATTTACAGAAAATAAACTTGGGATTATTCCTCGAAGTAACATTTTGCTTTCTTGCAAGTAAATGTAGCCAAGCTAGTCTTGCGAGGACGTCGAGTATTCAAAGAGGAGGCGCTTGGACGGAGCAGATTGAAGGAGCACACGTAGACGACTTGTGAGCTGGTAGATCAAGGTCCACTGCATTGCCATCTCCGAATCCTTCATCTGCCTTACCACGGAGGCCTGTTTATGTAAAATAGAAGATGGTAAACTTCCTGAAGAGTAATTATGTGTACGTTCAAAATTTACACATTCAGAATATTTCGAGCATTTCCGGACAACTTAAATTTTCTCATTTTCAAGTTAAAAAAGTTACTCGTTTTAAAACCATTCCATTACTTTCAAAATACGCAACTTAATTTCACTTTCGCCTATAAACCTTATTAGTTTAAAACTTTCTTATTTACTTAAAAATGATTTCGCTTAGCCAAACATATTGTCTCGTGATCTCCCAAATGTATGGGAACGTAGTAGTCGAGAGAACTAAAATGAATTGATTACCATTGAAAAATAAATAATTGCAACTTTTCCACTGAAAAAGGGAAAATCAAGAACCTGAAGACGTTTTCCAAGCTGAACTTCCACTTCTGTTCCGAATGATATGTTGTTGGCTAGAGACTTGAGAGGATCGATGGAAGGATCAACAGAAAGTAAACTTGGGATCTGAGGAGCATAAACAAGCCTCCACCTTGCTTGTCCAAATTCTCCCTTGCCTTCTATCCTTGGCATCAAGGTCTCAAGTGTAGCAGTGGCAAGCTTCTTAAATGCAAGCTGGCCATCACCTTCTAGTATGGATTCAGCTAACTGACTCTCAAAGACTCTAGCTGCCTGTAAAGTTATAAACCAAAAGTGAGATACGACAACTTCAAGTTTGCCCACACAAATCAAGGAATTTATAGAACCATTTTTATCTGAAATCATTATCATGTAGTCTTGAACTCCATTATCTAAAAAGCTTAAGGTGTTATAGATGATGCGTAAACCAGATTCAATTTTTTGCTCAAAGGGCTGACACGTGCACAATTCACATTAAAAAGTAGTTGAGAATTGAGCCTAAGATCTTTGCATGTTGTAACATGGTAAATCACCTAATCTAAAAGCTCATAATTTTGGAGCAGGGACATTTATTTATTTAAATTGCATTCAACGTGTGGAATATATACTATAACCCATCACACATCCAGGGTAAAATCCTGAAGGTAATGAATGATATTATGCACGTGGAAAAAAGCAGTGTCACCAAAAATGTGTATATAGGTGAATCAGCCGTACAAGTACTCTCAAGTACATAGCATGCCAAACTTGTTATTGTTTCCTTTGTAACAGACGTTACAGACCACAATAAAAACTTGTAGATTTATGGTGAGCTTAGAAGAGCTGTTAGAAGAAATCCAAGGCAAGTTGTTTCTATAATAATGCCTAAACATGCAGTTCATCTTATGTAAGTAAGACGTGAACTTATTCCATCAGGACTACAATTGTTTAGTTTGACTTGACTGCAGCAATATCACTCAGCTAACAGCCAACGATATTAAGTGCTTGTTTGGTAGGGATTTTGTTAATTGATTTTTTGATCGTTAGAGATAAGGTGGGTCCTACTTGTGAGAGAAGAATTCAAAAATGACGGTTGGAATAGTGAAATAACGGTAAAAAAATTGATTTTAATTGGCTTTTAATCCTACCAAACATGCTCAAAACTTGTTCCCTTCTACTAACTTACAGCACTAAAACATTGTAAATTTCAATAAACATTTACTATCTCACTTGCATTGATGACCCCATATTTCAAATAGACCAACCAAAATTGTTGGTCTCTCGTGATTTGTCCTAGCCCCCCCATATATATTACACACATTACATAAGTAAAATACTACATCCTGAATTTACTAGCTTCATTAACTTTAGGAGATTCTAGCATTAAAGGTTACCTCAGTAGGTGAAAGGACGTCTTGCTCCACAGAACGTGTTGAAGTCACCACCAATTTCTCCTGCCATTTACTAGCCCGACTTTGAATCCTAAATTGCCATTCTGATCCAACCAGAGCTAAATCTAGCATAGGATCAAGTCCATTTTCAGGCTCAAATTTTGCTATATTCAGATGCTCTCTCTTAAGCCGCACCTGCATTTTAGATGAATGACAGTATTACAGCAGAGAATGAATACTACGTCAGGATCTCAATCTAACATAAGCATGCAAAGCTCACCTGTGTAGCAACGAGATTTATATCACCATTCTCGAATGCTAGAATGCCTTTAGGTTTTATCAATTTGGGATGAGCCAGGCCATTTAATTCCAGTTCTCCACTAACAGCAAAATTGAGGATCAAAGGATAAACTATCCTTAATTCAGGCCCGAGAACAATCCTTAAGTCTGTAAGGTGGACATCTAATTTTGGCTTACTAGTTGCCTGCAGCAACTCCTTTGCATCATCTTGGTCACCTGTAAGGATCAATTCAACATACCATCATATCTTCAAATACTTATGAACAGATAATAACTTAATGAATACTAATTATTTATACAATAATAAACTAAAGTTGCAGCTCTTCTTTTGGTGTGTTTGTGTGTTTGTCCTTGGGAGGTTCATAGAAAGTCAAAGTTCGCATAATTACTGTAAATAGCTTTATCAATGAGACCATAGCAGGATTTTGGTGTGGAAGTGAACTATCAAATTCTATCACAAGCAAGGATAGCAACCAGCATTGAACTGTGGAAGGGAAAATATACTGTGCAGATTACCTGAAGAACACACGACTTACTAGACATAGACATGCAAATTCTTAACAAATGTGTGTATACTCATCTTACAGAAAAATCTAGACATAGAATTGAGCTTCAGTTACAAATAATATCTCAGCTCCGAACTCGTGTGAAATTGAGAATTTAATATACTAGACCATGGTTGAGGTATTATGGAGAACTACAAAGATAGTCATATTGAATTCTGGAGAGGGCAATTAAATTGATTCTCGCTGTGAAATGCTTTACTGCTATTGTGGTCCATTAGATGAAAGAGAATCCAGTGAGTAGGACTAGATCAGTTTTCCCCCAAAAATAGTGAGATCAATTGCAAATGCATCTTGCATGGTTTCTTATTCATGCCATGATGTTTTTTAACATGTTTTAATGGAGACATCAATCATGGAAGGCAAGCATCCATATTCAAATTAAAAGCCTCACATTAGTTCTATTATTTCAAGAAGACGGTCTCAGGAACTGTGCCCCCCCCCCCCCCCCCCCCCCCCCCCCCCCCCCCCCCCCGCCGGGGGGTAAGTGACCAAATACCAATCCTCACAAGAAGAGGAGATTGGAAAGAATTTTAGCTCCCACAAATAATCCCATTCTATGTAGCACGGATACTCTAACTAGGGTAGAGTGTCCGTGTCGGACACGTGTTGATACTGACACTTTTCGACACTCTACAATAATCATTTTTCTTTCTTACTGTAGTTATTACGTATTTTTAATTCAAAGTTATTAGTAAATATATTTAAAAAATTTCAACAAAAAAAATCAATAATATGTATAAAACTAGATTTAAACTATATAAATAAAGAATTTTAAAAAATTTAATGAACGTGTCGACAACATGTCGTGTCGGTACTTTTTTGAAAAATCAGGAGTCGACGTATCCGACACGTATCGTGTCGGACAAACGTGTCCGTGTCGTGTCGGTGCACCATAGATCCCGTTCTATGGTTACAGACTTCCTTTCACAAACATTAGTTGTAGGTCCTGCACTCCCATCTTCATTTTGCCCTTTTCTCAGATCTATCTCTTGTTCCAGGTTTTCATCCTAATTGCAATTTTCCCAAAATCATGCAAGGAATGAACTAACATCAAATTCTCACCGCCAAAATCCCAATCACCAAAATCTTCAAGATTTTTCTCAACCACAAAAATCATGATCCTCTGTAAGCTTTTGTTTCCTAACAGAACTTATTACTGCACAAATAAGAAAAAAATTGAGGCTAGAGTTTCTATTATTCTCAAACTTACCAGATGGTTGATGGAACAGGATATTTGACGTAGCAGGTATTAGATTGAGAAAGCGTGAAACATACTTCGATGCAGCTATCCGGCTGTAACTACCACCTGGCAGCTTTGGTCGATTTGATATGTCTCTAGGGAAGGGAGCAGTTCCACTACCCCTGTCATGTGGTAGATAAGCTTCTCCGTGGCTAATCTTTATATTTCCAGATATGTTTGGTTGCGTTATGGATCCAGTAATTTGCAACTGGGTATCAACCTGACCGCTGTAATATTATCATTTGTCAAGATTCAATGAGATGATGATTTTAAGAAGAGACTCATTCAGACTTTTCCCTCAAAAGCAAGAGAGGAAAACGATTTTTTTCTCATTCACTAGGAACATAAGATACCTCAGGATATTCCTTGCACGAACTTCTAAAACCTCGCATTTCAAGTCAAGTTTGTCGCTAAGAGATGCCTCACTCGTCCTGAGGGGCAGATTCCCTTTCACATACAGTCTTCCTTTTCGGCTTATTCTACCTTCCAGCGAACTGATGCACAGCCTATTTGAATTCACAAGAACCGTGCCTCCAAAGTTGGTAAGTGGTTTCCAAAGCACAGGTGAAGATACTGTTGCCCTGTGGAAAGATGCAGACCCATCAAGCACAGGTTGTTCAACAGTCCCCCTTACCTAAACATTCAAACAAATTACATAGGTCAACATCAAACTATGGTGGTGGTTCGTCTGTGTCTGTGTTGCAGGTGTGGGCACTGGGCAGGGGTGGGGGTGAGTCTTTAGAAAGAATTTTCTATTTCTCTCCCCTCCTCTGCAAACAAAATTTAAGATTAAGAGCGTGTTTCGGCTGTGCTTAAAAGTATATAAAAGTTACCTTAAGTTACTTATTTACCAAACTTAGTTTGCAAAGTTGCTTTTTTCACTAATAAAACTTACTTTTCTAGAGTAAGTCTTAACTTAAAGAAATGTAACTTTTAAGCACAGCCAAACATGCATAAGTCAAAGAAAGTTACCTGAAGTATAATTTCAGCATTGCCATGGAGCCATTTAGCATAAGGAGATAGTGCAGTTAGCAACATCATGCCACCATCTTTAATATCAGCATCGATTCTAACTTCTCCTACATCCAGTATGTTCCAGTTCAGACCTCTAAGGTTTTCTGCCATCTGAGTGTCCCAAACCTCTTGATTTATTTCTCTGGGCCCCTTCCGATCAGTAGCTTCATCTGTAGATGCTTTACTTGTCTCTGTGCCCCAACCACGAACCCATGCTCCATCATTTTTATCACTTTCTGTGTTTTCTTCCTCTGAAACATTATTTTGCACAAATGTTACAGGAATACTTCCTTGAATATGTACATGACCATTCTGAACTATGGGTTCAAATTTTGCATTGAATAGGAAACGGCTGGTTGAGGTCAGAGAAGCAACAATTTCTGCCCTCCCAAGATCGACTCCTCCGATTGCTCCATCCAGGAGCCTTACTTGAACATCGCATTCAGGTTTAGCTAGATTCCCTCTAAGATCCCCTTCCATATGCAGTATGCCTTTTATTGGTGCCAAAAGTTGACGCAAAGAATGAACAGTATCAGTGGCTGAAGTTTCAATAACCTGAACCACTGTAGGAACTAAACCAACAGGAAAGTTCAGAACAGCAAAATGCAAATTTGTTTTCGGCCCTAATAACGTCCCATCTGCATGGATTGTAGCATTTTCCCTTTGGATAAAGATTTTTTCAAGGCGCAAACCATCATTGTTGCTGTATGCTCCAGCTGCTAAAACACGCTGGGTCTTATATGCTCCCCACTCCCATTCCTCCCCATTAAAATCAAATTCAGCCTAATGAATACACAAAACAAGAAAGCTACCTATCAGAGGGCAAAGGTTGCATGTGTCGAAAGTAAACAAACTGTGAGATAACATTTCAGTTTAGTCAGCAATGCTCTTATTGGTAAATGATGCTTTAAACAGAAATAAGGGCACCCAAGGAATCCATTTATATACAAGTAAATGTAAATGCTTCAAGCATAATATGCGTAATTGTACACTGAAATTTTTTTGAATACTCATTGTGTTATGATAAAAATAAAATTCAAATGAATCTGAGGTCTCCTTAAACAATTATAGAAACTCGTGAATGAGTTTACTCTACTTAAGGTTCTTATGCAAGTAGGAATCAGAAAGATGATGTCCCTTGTCCGACAAGTAAATTGATAGAATCATTCTAATGGATAACAAAGAGTTGGTATCATCATAACTTTCATCTTTGAGTACTCCAAACGATCATTGTGACAGGTGCAGAAATGTTTACCATCGTGTCTCCATTGCCTCCTCCACTTGCATCCAGAGAGCCCCACCAGGAACCTTTAAGCTCAGCTAGACCTGGAAGATTGAACTCGTCAAGGACAACTTCATCTGATGCAGTACAATGACCCCGAACTTCCTACATATTTGAACACAAGTAGGAAAATATCAAGGAGATATAACAAGAAAAATTCATAAATAACAAGGATAGAGAGCTCCTTAATGCACCACTAAGTAAATTTATCACATAGAACCTCCACACCTGAAAAACGGAAAATTTTATGGTACCAGGAAGTACCTCAAGTAGTTTTTGTAGGTCTTCAGCACACAATCCCACAGATTGCAAACTTTGCATGAAAAAGTCCTGCAAGTGAGCAGAGATAACCACACAATTAAAATCTATAACACAAATGCGTTTCCCTGCAGTGAATGCTAAAAGTGGGCATCAAGGAAATGGAAGCTAGGACACCACAATTCACTGATATATATATATATATATATATATATATATATATAGAACCCTTTTTTTCCTTAAAAAGGAGAAATATAAGAAAGAAAGAAATATTAACTGTACATAGAACAAGACCTAGTTCCTAACCAAGAAATTTTGCAACTTCAGCTCACATAAAACAGGAAGAAAAGCAGATAGGAAAAATGCTACAGATAACTGCTCAATCAGGCAGCAGAACACGAAAGTTACTCTTTCCCAGGATCTGTAGTACATTCAAACAGAAGATGATCATGCATTACACCAAGAATCAAATTATAAAGTATCTCTCGAGTCGATTCTTTGGTCATTATCTCCGCATCTTCCAAAAATCAACAACAATAGGAAAACAAAAAATCTATGAAGTTGCTGCTAAAAGCCAATAATTCCACTAGCAAGCCTTGCAGCATAACCTAAGCATCTGTACATAGTATCGAGCCAGGAACTCTGTCTTTCCTCTCTAACAATGACTATACTGTCACTATTCTTCCGAGCCAGAATGTTGAGAAGTGTAATCTCTCAGACAAGTATTACATTTGGACAACTGCATACATACGCAATATCACTTTTCTCATTCTTAAAGATTAATGCGTTTATAACTGCAAACAATACCCTCCTCAACACGGTAAATATAAAGCCCGAAGAAATTATTAACTAGATGACACATAACCTGAAAATAATATAGCCAGAGAATTCTTCAAAATTCACACTGCGTAAACATTTATTACAACTAATGCCACCTCACCTTTTCTGTAAATAAAAAGTATTAAAAAATGATTTCCCAGTAAAAACACCGTGGAAGACGAAATTCAAATAAATAGATGTGTCCCTCTCTAATAGCTTAAACTTTTACCCGAGATGATTCAACACTATATATTACAGTCCATTAGTTCATGCACTCGCACATGTTTCCAAGATATGGGAAAGAGAAATTCCTCTTCTGGGAAGTAATAGTAGCAAAACCCATAACAGTGGTCCAGTATGCATTAATAAGCCATTCACATTTAACACTCGATATATTTCAGCCATCACATATAAGTAGATCATAACCTTCGATCTGGATTGAACAGCAGGGTCAGAACTTCGAGAAAGCAGCCTTGCAAGTGGAAGCATCTCAGCAATCTCAGCTTTAGGGACCTCAAGTCTCATTCTCCATCGGCCCATTGAAGATATCATACTACCCAGATGACCAGTTATTACTTTCTGAAACAGATTACCTTTTTCTTTGCCAGCAGGGTTTCGATCACGGGAGCCAGGCAATACATACTCCCCTTGCAGTTCATATTTGCTCGTACTTTGTTCCAAAACAGCTTTTTCGAGAGTGATCTACACCATGAAGTAGTTTGCAGCAAGGTTAATTTGTTATTGGAAAATTGTCATAGTCCTAGAACTAAGCTTAGAAGAAGGCAGATACTATAGAACACAAAACAATTATAGCTTTGGTACTCACCACGTCCCCACTCCACCTAGCAGCCACATCTAAAGCTTCACCCAACACACCACTGAATTTTGGCCGTAGGACAGATAATGCACCATGACCCCTTCTTTTTTGAAAGTTCAGCTGAAGTTCTGCCTGAAAAAGAAAAAGAGGAGTCTTTTTTATATAGAAATATCATTGCGCATTCATAGTTCATTATCTTCTTAGGAAAAAATGTACTTTTTATCTCCTCATTTTCTTAATCAATTGAAAAATACCTTAAAGATTCCCTATATATCAAAATTATACTAAACAAAATAGATAAGGCTAGTTTAAGTCAAACAGATCCCACAAATACACACTATTCAAAAGGTCTTGAAGCATATTAAATATGTGTCCATGTCTTAAGGATTCTGCTTTGATGACAGGAATGAACAACACCTACCAATCTCTAGTCACTCTCAGAGATCCTGCTCAATAGGGTCTCATTTTAGTTCAAATTCAACCAAATAGATGATTTAGTTTGATAAGGAAATTCAAATAGGCCTATTAAAGTAAAAAGAACTTTGCAATCAACACAAAGGTAGAACCTGATAACTGACCAAACAAGTCATCAGAACATCTCCTAAGTCAGTAGCAACAAAATAAAGTTGAATAGTTTAAGTGAAAGTTTACCCTTGAAATTGCTCCACGAAGCGAAGCTATTTCCAGTTCATCCAGTGGCAAATGGCGTACCTATGGCATGTGATATTAAACCATTGTAACAATCCTGAGAGAAAAAGCTTATAAAACGGAAGAACTAGAAGATGTAAAAGCCAGTTACACGTTTGAAGCATATTTTTTTATAGGTATAATCGTATAATTTTTCTAGCTTTTTATTTCAACCTCATTTGTAATGGAAGTAGTATTTCCAATTTTTTGGCTTTTATAATCCTCTCTCCCTCTCCTCTTGATGTATCTTTATGGTAGTGTCAATTAGATGAGTAATTAACGCATAGTTGTAATTGGTAGAAAATTGCTTAGTTTCCATTTGTGTACAGTGATAGCTAACATTCAGCCGTGTAATTTGCCTTATTATTCCTATATATACAAAGGAACCCTCACAATGAGGATTATCGAGTCAAAGGATAAATTGAATACCTTGACATGGTATCACAGCCATAATTTTGAATTTCTTCGTGGTTTCTCGTGCGATAGAGTAGGTCTTCGGTGGTGTCGGAATTTTCCGACTGCGATAGAGTCGGTCTTCGGTGGTGTCGGAATTTTCCGACCTCTTGAGTGCTGTCGGCGTCTTCGGTGGTGACTGGCGACGTCTTCTTTGAGTTCTGTCAAGACTCTTCATTTGGGTCCTACGTGGTGTCCGATTTTTTGGACTTCTTTGGTGCTGCCGGCGTCTCCTGTGGTGGCTCCCGTGGTGGCTGAGACCGTGCGGTGAACGTGGAGGCCGAGATTGGTGCGGTGAATGTGGAGGCAGAGACTTGTATTGGTGCGGTGAACGTGAGGCCGAGACTTGTGAACCCGACGTGAATTAGAGGTTTGATATTAACCTCTGTTTATTGGGCTAAGTAATTCATTGTTTAATTGGGGTGTTAAAGTTTACTTAGACAATTTATCCATTGTTTAATTTGGGTCTTAAAATTTACTTGGGCTCAGTTTGTATTGGGCTTTCTACTGGACTTTGATTTTGCTGAATTTATATTGGTTTCTTTTGTTTTTAACTACGTACATCATGTCAACCAACATGTCTGAAACTCTCGGTGTGCGATTCACGGGTAAAAATTATTCTACATGGGAATTTCAATTTCGATTATTCGTTATGGGAAAAGAATTATGGGGTCACATTGATGGAAGTGACCCAGCTCCTACTGAGAATATTCAATTGGGCAAATGGAAAGTGAAAGATGCTAGGGTTATGACATGGATTTTAGGATCTGTTGATCCTATGATTGTACTAAATCTAAGACCTTATAAGACTGCTAAAGAGATGTGGGAGTATTTAAAAAAGGTCTACAATCAAGACAATACAGCTAGACGATTTCAATTGGAATATGAAATTGCAAATTACACTCAGGCCAATCTCAACATCCAGGATTACTTCTCTGGGTTTCAAAGCTTATGGGGTGAATTTGCTAATATTATCTATGCTAAAGTACCAGTTGAATCTCTTGCTGCCGTTCAAACTGTACACGAGCAAAGCAAGCGAGACCAGTTTCTAATGAAGTTACGTCCAGAATATGAGGCAATTCGCTCAAATCTAATGAATCGTGATCCGTCCCCTTCTTTGGATGTTTGTTTTGGGGAGTTACTTCGTGAAGAGCAGCGTCTTACAACACAGGCCACTATTCAACATCAACATATGACCTCAGATGCTGTTGCTTATGTAGCTCATGGCAAAAACAAATGGAGAGACATGAGAAAGATTCAATGCTTCAGTTGCAAGGACTATGGGCATATTGCTACTCATTGTACCAAAAAGTACTGCAATTATTGCAAGAAGTCGGGACACATTATCAAAGACTGTCCTACTCGACCTCAAAATCGTCAAGCTAATGCATATCAGGCTACTATCAGGCCACCAACTTCTGAGACATCATCTACTGCTGCCCAATCTGCTCTTACTCCTGAAATGGTGCAACAAATGATTGCGTCAGCTTTTGCTGCCTTGGGATTTCAAGGTAAACATAATACTTCATCTCATTCTTGGCTAGTTGATTCTGGTGCCTCAAATCATATGACCAGTTCCTCTGAAGGTCTTTATGATATTCGCCCATATCAAGGCTCATCTCATATTCAAACAGCTAATGGGAGTTATTTCGCTATTAATGCTGTTGGTAACATTAATTCTGCTTTTCGAGAAATTTTTATATCTCCGGGTTTATCTACAAATCTGATTTCAGTTGGTCAATTAGTTGATAACAATTATGATGTCCATTTTTCTCGTGATGGTGTTCTTGTGCAGGATCAGGTGTCGGGCAAGATACTAGCGAAGGGGCCTAAAATTGGACGATTGTTTCCATTACATTTTTCTATTCCTAGTTGCTTATCTTTGGCTTGTATAACTGTTAACAATAAAAGTGAAGTTTGGCACAAACGTTTGGGACATCCAAACTCCACTATCCTGTCTCATTTGTTAAACTCTGGTTTGTTGGGTAATAAAAATAATTCTTCTCATAATTTGTGTTTTGATTGTTCTACATGCAAATTGGGAAAGAGTAAGACTCTTCCTTTTCCTTCTCACAGTAGTCGTGCCAAAAAGAGCTTTGATATTGTGCATAGTGATGTTTGGGGCGTTTCACCTATCACCTCTCATGCCCAGTATAAATATTTCGTGACTTTTATTGATGATTATAGCCGATACACATGGATCTATTTTCTCCGTCTTAAATCTGAAGTACTTTCAGTTTTTCAGACCTTTGTGACATATGTTGTTTCAGTTTTTCAGACCTTTGTGACATATGTTGAGACCCAATTCTCTGCCAGTATTAAAATTTTACGATCTGATTCAGGTGGAGAACATATGTCCCATGAGTTTCATGATTTCTTAAAACAAAAAGGGATTTTGTCTCAACGATCATGCCCTTATACCCCTCAACAAAATGGGATGGCAGAACGAAAAAATCGTCATGTACTGGATGTTGTTCGTACATTATTACTTGATTCCCATGTTCCTTCAAAATTCTGGGTTGAAGCAGTGTCCACTGCAGTTTATTTAATCAATAGATTGCCTTCCCAAAGTCTACGCTTTGACTCTCCATATTATCGCCTTCATAATCAACATCCTACTTATCATGACCTACATACTTTTGGGTGCATTTGTTTTGTTCATTTACCTTCTCATGAACGACACAAGCTTTCTGCACAATCTGTTAAGTGTGCTTTTATGGGCTACAGTGTTTCGCACAAAGGATATGTTTGCTATGATCCATGTTCTAACAGATTTCGCATTTCTCGTAATGTTGTTTTCTTTGAGCAACAATCTTTCTTTCATACTCATGCTCAACATTTACCTGAAATTAGTATTCTCCCATGCTTTGGTGATTTGACTTCTCATCCTGAAAGATTCAAGCCCGGACTCGTGTATGAGAGACGTCAACCAAATAGGCCTCTTCCTGAAGTTGACCTCACATCTGATCTTGTCCAACCCCACTCTTCTGAGCCTGAGTTGGCATCGGATACTAATGTACCTCCTGAACCGGGTCCTCGACGATCTACCCGTATTTCTCGCCCGCCTGATAGATATGGTTCTTTTCATTCATTTGCCACTACACTGACATCTATACCCCCTAGTTATTCAGAAGCAGCTAAACATGAATGGTGGCGGAAGGCTATGGATGAAGAACTTCAAGCACTTCAGGATAATCATACTTGGGATGTTGTTCCTTATCCACCCAATGTCAAGGCTATTGGTTGTAAGTGGGTATATTCTATTAAGCTTCGTTCTGATGGAACTCTGGATCGTTATAAAGCTC